CATGTTTATGATACCTACGCGTTAGAGAAACTCATAACACTCAAGTATTTTACTCTCTATGTGTGTTTTGCTGAAATCAAACATAGACTGTACTTTGCATGTAGCAGAACCACGACGGATGGAGTGTCCTCTGTCCCCCTTAAGTAAGACTACAGATAAGCGGTTGAAGACATGCGATTCACGCGTTAGCATCCGCAGGCTAACTGGCAATTACACTGCACTACCAAAGTATTGCTGGTATAACTGGTCAGTGATCGCTTCCCAACTCAAGTGACGCGTGATGTAGCAACATGTCCCTGAAGAATGCAACGCTATCATCGCTAGTTACCTAGTTTGCCCCAGAATCTTACTATGTATAGTTCGCTAAGTGTGTCTGTTGGTTTGTCGGTGTGTTTGTTTGTTTGCGTGCATGTATGTGTATGTATATGTGTGTATGTGTGCGTGTGTGTGTCGGTGTGTGTTCGAACGGAAATTCATAACTGCTGTTCTCGTGGACCTAGAGCGTTGAAAATTGGTAGGAGTACAGGCGCCAGGATGGGACCACTCATCCTGTCGCCTGTACTCCTACCAAATTTCAACGCTCATCATGGCAGGTAGCAGGACCAGACTTCGCTTACAAGGGCGGGGCGTGCGTGATAAAACTTTTTGACCGTAATTTCATAATTCGTGCTTTTCGCATTAACAGTGGTAATGAATGGTGTAGGATATAACGGGATCATAGGTACTCGGCCACAGCACCGATGACAAATGATAAGAGAAGATAAGAAAGCAAGAGCCACCTACTGAACAGAATCCTAACCCTTCTGTATTTGCGATTCAGCTTCGACTGCTCAGTATGTTCTATTCGATAGAACGGTATGGTAGAGTAGGGTGACAAAAATGAGTGGTAAGTGCAGCGATAGGGACCCATTAGCGGCACTACGATAAGCAGATGAGAATTCTGTTCATTACTTGCCATTAGATTGCGACCGCTACCCAGCAAGGTTCGTCTCTCCATGAAGAATTCGCTTTGGTCGATATCATTTGTAGACTTAGACTTAACCGACCGTCGGTAATCTGAAATCTCGACTAATATTGTCTTCGTACAGAGAAGTCTCCATCGATAACGACATTTGTTAATGGTGCTAACATCCCTCGAAACATTTCTGAGTACCGCCCAAGGCTTTGGTTGTCTAATAATTGAATCTCCAGTGTTTATTTACGTTTAAGGACAAAAGGAAATGCTCGAGACTTCCAATTAAAGGCGTAAGCGCCGACCTACACTAAATATCATTTGCACTGCTCTGTTAGTCCTGACTGAAACTTCGTGAAAGGAAAATATTTGTTTCACAGAAAGAGTGGCGAGTTAGCCGGTCACTAAAACTTTGCAGAAGAAGGAGGGAAGCCTGGCCTTGGCCGGGCAAGCCGACTGACCTACTAGAATCAGCTATTGCGATTGTTTACGGTCTCGCGTGTAGAACATATTCATCCCATTTTGGAAACATCTTCTTTATGGGCTATGAAATGGTGAGTAGGATTGTTTCAACAACCTCTCAGATCCAGATCCGAACCCTCAATTCCTGAACTCTGTGGAATCGATCATCAAGACAGGAGAGAGGAGCAAAGCATTGGGTTCAAAAAAGGCGTTTTCAGTACTTTGCCCGGGTGTGATGCAATTCACGCGTCAATATAATGAGGTTATCGGACAAGACGCTCTATAACATCATGCTTACCATCATAATGGGAGAAATGAGAGCTCAAAAGTAGAATAAGTAAAAAATGGGACCAAATATGCACGTTTACAGAAGGATTGCGTTTTCTAAAACCGAAGAATTTGAAATTATTCTCATTTTGAACGTCTGACAGGCAAATTGTCAACGTATGAAGTTAAATTTTGATCTCGAAGGACTTCATTGCCATAGTAAAAAGATTTGCTCTAATTCATGGTGTAGCCGTGGACTACCACGAATCTTATTTGGTCCATTTCAACAGAAAGGTACTGAAACGATGCAGCGTGCGCGAAGAGCACTAATGGGGTCGCGCGTGAATCGCGCGCCCCCCACCTTGCTCCTTGGAAATCAGAAACAGCTCAAAAGGATTTCGTGTTGAAAAGTATTGTTTTCATCACATAGTTTGTCACTTGCCGAGTTCTAGTGGCACAGCTAATATAGACGTTTCTTGTTCAAACCTTTGGTGCTAATTGTATTGCTATTCTTCCTCATGACAATTGGCCTCGACTCTCGCGCATGGCAGTGCTGAACAAAACCTCGTCTATGAAGATCTGCAATCTAAGTGAAGAGCTCTACGAATGAGCGTACGCGTCTTGACTTGACTGATGATGTTAGGTGGAACTTTTAAAACGATTTGCCAAATTCACAAATGACAAATACGGAACAGACTGCAAAGTTTATGAAGAAGAATGGGAAAACTACGAAATTAGTTGAAATATTTGCGATCTGCAGCGTCTATTTAGGGGGTGGAGGATCCTGGAACCTAACCGCAGTTCAGGAAGGAGCGACTCTCATGTAGTTTTCCTTACAAGGCTGAGTTGAACTCTAGACTGAGTTAGAATAATCCAATTTCATTACTCTGTTATTCCTTGCTTTATTCGTTTGAGTGCTTATTCCCTGACTTTCTGCTTTTGAAATACTACACAACTGGAAGGAGACATTAACGGGGCTGTATTGCTGAACTTGCAGGTGAGCACTTGAGTAAGTTGATAAGCAGGTTTTCCCTTTCAGAGATTTACACAACTTGTCGTGTTTATGTGTTAACGTGATTCTGGTGTTATTCAGGTGAGGAAGAGCAGTACTTTTCGTCGAAAACGACTTGTTTCCTCCGTATTATGTATTACCAGTAGAGTCGCCCGGCTTATGCCGCTTCATTCCTTACTTTTAGAGTAGTTAGAAAGTGTAGTTAGGGGAGGGGATACCGCTTTCATTCAGCACTGGGGGCGTGTGTGCAGAAAAGGAGGGGTAGTCGAACATACCTGTGCTTAGAGTGTTTCTAGGCCCAAGAATTTAGTTTTTCGTGAGCATGAGGAGAGGAGGGGAGGGGTGGGGTGATCACTTCGTGCGAAAAGCTAAGATGGTTCACGAATTGAATATTCAATTCACTTGCCTTTTTTATAGACATACATAGCACGGTGCCAGTACAGATCGAAATCACAGCTTTGAAGTACCCACTTCACTCCACTATTCTCACTTTACTGCTTTATAAATAAGAGAGATTTTGCAGCACATGTTATCAGGAAATAGGGAATATTAGTCTTTGTATATCTGGCTATTCCTTGACGTGAGAGGTGATAGCTACATGAAATGGTTGTGCTGTTCTTTGCTTTGCCGTTTATTTTACTCTTTGTTCTTAAAGTTGATACATGAACATGATGTCGAATGTTGCAGTTGTAAACGTGCCGCTTCTAGCACCTCTGCTTTTCACTTTTTGAGCCGAAACTTTAAACAGGGCGTGCGCATTGGTGTAAGAAAGAGTCACACCGCATCTGAGTGCGAAAACCTAATGCTCATTGTGCTGTCGAATTTCCGTCATCGAACGAGTCAAAAATAAACACAGGAAGATGGTAGTAGCACTAGGAAAGTAAGCGTCCAGAGAGAAAAACAATGAAAAAGCTAGTGATGAGTGAGAAATAAATATCAAAGAAGATTAAGCAGTAAACAATAAGGGGTTCCGGCGCTTTGTTCAGGTGCATTGCGGCAGGTTGTGAATATTCACAATAGTCGATGTATGGAATTTCTCGTGCTGTGCTTTGTGGTTAAGAAGTGTAAGGGTCATAAAGTGAGGAGGGACTGGAAAATATTGACCTAACAGTGATCCACTGAAGGAGGATTAGTGACATCTTAACAATTATCTAACTGAAATTGCGCGGTTCTCTTTTTCTACCAGTTGCCTTCTCTACTTATAGTGCAACGCGGGCTTTTGCTAATTGTTTGCTAATTGTCGTACAAGATCTCAAACTTCGGTAATTAAACCCTTCATATATATAAGCGAGAACAAAGAAAGTGGTCTGCGGTGAAAACAACACATGCTATGGGAAAAGGGAAAAACCACTTACAAGAGGAAAGGGAAAAGCCCTTTTTCAGTTTATACGAAGAAATGTGAAGACGTGTCTAGAGGCAACGAGGAAAAAAGTACGGCTTCAATACGATCGCTCACTTTTTATACGGAATCACCGCCGATAAAAACATTCTACGAAAAGCATCATTCGCACTGCTGGGTTTTGGGGAACCTTGCTTGTTTTCAATATAGCTCAGCTAAAACGTCTGAGGAATCGCAACCTTTCCGCGATACTAACCTCACAAGTTGTGTTTTCTGCCGATGGTAACCGAAGTTTGTTTGCTCAGGACGAGTTATCTACTACATACTCCTCTTCCTACAATCCTCTTCGTTTGGTTTACACATTCAACGACGGATCGCAGACGTTATAATCACATCTGAGCTTTGCATCAGCAGTTATAATCACTTTGCATATAGATGGGGACGCGGTAACCGTACTATCGTACCCAAATTCAGCCAACCCTTCGAGCGAATTTGGTGCAACTTACAACCATCTGAGACATTTTGAGCGTTCTTTGGATGAAGTTATACTGACTAGGTAGTTAGAGTTAATTTGTTGGATAACCTCGCACCTCCTCAAAGAACTGGTTCTTTGGAAGGCAATTTACTTCTGCAGTGGCTTCAGTTTTCTGCTCCACCGTCACTTACTTGATATATGACAACATAAGAAGGTTAGTTGGATGTTCGCACACTTTGTGGTCATTTCCTTGGAGTTCCCTCAGCCTCAGCGTTATGCATACTGCGCGGTGCGACGAACACGAAGCAGTGGGGTAATATGAGGTTTCACGCATGGGTCATGGCGGGTGCATGAATTAACAGCTGATTAAGACGATTACAGACTGCCGAATGGAATTCTACCGATTTCTACAAGTATAAATAGGGATGCTAAAAGTGTGGTTGCATCACAGACCGGCCTTCTATAAGCGTGGCAACGTCAGTGCCGGAGAGCCATGGCCGGTGGAGGTGGAGGTCGTTCCCCTTTCATGGATGGCATAAAGAAGGCTCACGTAAGTGCCTCTGAGATCTCGAGAGTTTAGTGGCTATTATAAAGTAGCTCGTTTAGGACGATATGGTCTCTTGGTGCTACGAACCACATGGCAAAGTCGCTGATGAACAGCTCAAAAAACTAGATGAAGCGCAAGTGAAGAGAGAACACGTAAGCAACAACTATCAGTCACATTCTGCTCCCTATGAAGAGTTTGTTCAACAGGTCGCCTACGGCTTCATTGGTTTGATTTGTTTGTATCTGATCAGTGGAGAGCAGGCATTTTTTGTGTCAGTCTTCATCACACTCACCTATCCAATGTACCTTAGTGTTCAAGTGAGTTTTTTTGTTCAAATACCTACTGCGCTAAAATCTTGATTTCCTTGGCCTTTCATACCGGAAAANAAAAGTTTTCGTGAGCTAGATCTGTTAATCGTCCAAACCTAGGCTCGTTCATTTTGGCAAGCGTTGATAGTGGAACGGGTGGATTGTAAATCATTTGCTTTGGATCAGCGCGAGAAGAATTTCTGTAGGGTGAGCTGAGGGTGAAACGGTCTGGTTGAATGGTTGAGTTAAAGGCACAATGCGATAACTTCGAGAAACCCTAACCCTATTAGTGAAAATGTTACGACCACGACTCGGATCTCGACAGCCACGTCTACTTACCCACTTACTAGTCCGAGAAAGGGTTTTGTAGCTTCTTCAGTTGTTTCCTCCGAAGTTCGACATGCCAGCAATTCGACGAGGTATTATAGGCTCGCGGTCCCGATAGGTTCGAACTAGAAGGTCCAAAGAGTCTTTCATCATCCATAGTCAGGACACTGACTAGACTCTTAACACGGTACCTGTCTGAATGTAACGTGCCAGTTTAAGAAAAATTAGCAAGAGTGTGATGCTGTGTAAGAACGGAAATCCTGTCGACATTGGCGACTATGACCTATTTTGTCTGCTCTTTTATCTACAGGCTTTTTACACGCGTCCTCCCCAAGAGGAGTTGCAGAATCCTTACTTTATATAAAGCGCTCGCGTCTGTCTGTCCGTCTGTCTGTCTGTCTGTCTGTTTGTACGGAAATTCATAACTCCTGTCCCCGTGGACCTAGGACGTTCAAATTTGGTAGGAGCACAGGCGGCAGGATGGGAACACATATGGTGGGTGGCACGACTGAACTCCGTTCACAGGGGGCAGGGTTTGTGCAGTATAAATGTTTCAGCGGAAAATAATAACTCCTGCCCCTGGAAACCCAGAAAGTTCAAATTTGGTAGGAATACCCAAGGCAGGGTGGGAACCCTAATGGTGGGTGGCAGGATCGGGCCACACAGGGCGGGGTTTGCGCCAAAATTGTTAGTTTGGCCCTAGGCCGTTCAAACTTGGCAGGAGTGTAATCGGCAGGTTGGGAATACTAATGGTAGGTGGGGGGACCGTACCCCGCCCATAGAAGGCGAGGTGTGCGCAGACTGGCTCCAGGGCGCTCGAACTTGGTAGGAAGACAGGCGCCAGTATGAGAACACTTGTGGTGGGTAATAGGACCGGGTTCCACCCACGGGGNTATGCCGAGATTAATCGAGAGTCGGACGTGGGATATTTCCGTATGGTTTTTCCTTAAGTTCCAGTCATCTTAGGCTATAGGTATAGCGGTTAGCTAGCCTGCTGCCTGTATTCCTGTATCCCAAACTTAAACTCTCCAGGTCCATAGGAACAGGAGTTATCCTTACTTTATATTAAGCGCTCGCGTCTGTCTGTCCGTCTGTTTGTCTGTCTGTCTGTCTGTCTGTTTGTACGGAGATTCATAACTTCTGTCTCCGTGGACCTAGGACGTTCAANGGGGGGGGTTTGAGAAATAAATGTCTGAGCGAAAATCCATAACTCCTGATCCCGTGGACTTGGAGAGGAAAATCAATAGGTGTTGGGGGGACAAGATGGGAATATTGACGATAGAGGAGGCCTAAGAGAACAAGATCCAATCACCACTTAATCCTAGCGCCTTTGTTATTTACGATTCAGCTGTGATTCTTTGATATGTTTCATTCGACAAGAAGGGTAAGTGCATTGATAGGACCGACCATGAAATTCGGTTCACTTCTTGCTTACGCCCGCTACCCAGCGAAGTTTGCAATTGAATGAAGGATCACGGTTTCCTCCTGCTTTGATCATTCATGGCAAAACTTATCCGACCGCTAACAATCTTGGATTCCCATTTAATGACGCATCCGTAGAGAAAAGGAGCTACATTAATTAAGACATTTGATAATGGTATTATTATGACTCCACAACAATTGTGAGTGTCATTCAAGGCTTTGAATGCCTGCCTACCAGTTGAATCTTTAATGGGCCATTATTTTCAAGATCAACAGCGCCAGATCGAGACAGACAGATCCTAATTAAAGGCATGGGCATCGACACATTTTGAATATCGTTTGCAAGCCCTATTGTTCCTCTATCGTACTTCGTGTACTGAAAAGTATCATTCGTTCCAAAGAAGGAGTGCGCTGTTTGCCGTTTATGACGACTCTATCATAAGAGGGAGGGAAGCCCGGCGTTAGCCGGGCGGTCTGACTGTCTCTATATATAAAGCGGTAATTTTGTGCGTGGGAAACAGTTATGAAATGAGGAGTCAACCGATACTGTTCATATTGGTTCTCTAACAAGTCGTAGGTAAGCGGGAGTGGGCATGTGGTGCACGCATTAGCGCGCGTAGCCCAACTGGTAATAGATGAAGGACAGCTACTCGAGCAAGCAGGTTTCAGAGAGCTTCAGTATTTGCAATCGATCACAACCACACTGTTACACGACTCATTGAGAATACAAAATGTCGTTATGTCTGACGATCATTGATTTGAAGATGGCTTTTGATACAGTCGATAGACAGAAGCGGAACTGAAGCCTTTGGTAACCAGGATGTTCCTACTCAACGCATAAGGATGCGTTGTGAGCCCTACGGCAGCTTCATGCCCAGGATTTCACCATTCTATAAGGAAGTGCCAATTGTTAATATTGAAAGATAGGATTGGCAAGGCGATACCGTTTCGCCGAAACTTTCCAGTGCCGCCCTGGAAAACATCATGCGTTATTTGGAATAGGATTACTCGGAAGTGAAGGTCGACAGCCGCTACTTACATAATCCACGCTTTGCAGACGATATAATACCGGAAATCGGGCAGGTGGAACGAATGCTGGCCAAATCCCACAGCGTTTGTGGAAAGACTCAACACTAGGCTTAACGAACGATGTTATTGAGGCACTGCTATTATGCTGATTGGCTTTTGATGCTCCCTTTATGTTAAACTTATCGAATAACCCTGAACGCTCTAGTTAATTTGTATGCTCTAAATGCTGGAAAACAAATAACATATCCGCGCTCACCTTTCTACCCTACTGTCCTTCCTGCTTTGACGTGCGCCTCGAAAACTTGGACTCCACGAGAGTAGGATGAAAGTGCCGCTAGCTTTCCTCAATGCGCTTCGGAAACTGCGATGCTTCGAATCTCTCTACACCCAAGTGCAGAAGGTTATCTGAAGTTTCGAGCTCCGTCGACGAACGAAGATCACTGATGCCATTACCTACGCCAGGAAATCGAAGATCACGTATACACGTAATGCGATATCGTGATGACCATTGGACAAGAGCGTATTTCACTGGATACCTAGAGATGTTAGCGAGCATTAGCACAGCCGCTAATGCGATGTTCAGACTTCTTCATAGTCCGAGTTGTAGTCACTTTCATATGACTTTCATCACCGCCCTTTAAGGTGCTGTAACTGTTCCAAACGATAAAATGAAAGTCATTTTGGTCTTGTAATTACGTCGGGCTTGCGAATGGAGCTACGTCGGGCTTGGCAATGAAGGCTCGTCGGGCTTGCGAATGCGTTTTCCGACCTCGGCGACTTTATTCATAACAGCTGCTCTTCTCTCTTTCAGACCATCCTTTATCAATTTTCCGCATAGTTTAGCAATTTCGGACGCCTGTTGATGATTGCCGATTCGCACGATTTCACGCTGGCATATCAGCTCAAGATTCTTCAAGCGGAGACGTCTCTTGGCTGCTTGTGGACTGTCTGCTTTCCTAGCACTATCATGAAGATGTTTGACAAGCCGGTTGTGTTTCTCATCGATATCGTCGATAACAGAATCTTCCCAAAAGCTCGGAAGGGAAGCAAAGTGGTCCCAAATACTCAGTCTTATAGATAGATCTTCGTTTCCTGGACTCCACAACTTTATCTCCACGCACTGAAAAACAGAATCTCGTGCGAAAGAGACGATGGTCCGATCCTATATGAACTTGAGAACAACCGCACGTCATTCAGGCAAACTTTTCAATTGGAGATTATGCAATCCATTTTAATATGGGGCTATCTGCCAGATGACTAGCTTAGTTTATCGCAAATGGGAGAGCTCTTGTGACTGCGAATTGCCATACTCCAGTTCCTGATCTTCGTAGATTGGTGCGTAGGCAACGACTATTGTTAGAGATGGATGGCGTGGGTCGATACGATGAACTCGGACGCCTTTCACCCTGTTTATTCTTCCATACGGTGAATCCCACCGTGGAGCTCCAGCCGTAATTTCGGGGCCAAACTTGGTGTTGAACTCACCGACGATGACCTTGAACAAAATGTGGTCCTCTCAGAGAGCCTTTTCAGGTCTACATAAAACATTTTCAGTTCCTAATCTTTGTAGATTGGTGCGTAGCCAACGACTATTGTTAGAGATTAGCTTGAGCCACATCTTTTTAATCGCAACGCCCCATTTGAGTTCTCAAGCTTTCAAAGAAATCGATGTTTATGAACACCGAGGACACATACGCTGCCGACGCGTCTGCTAGTGCATGTTCCGAGGAACAGACATTCTCCATTCTCGTGTACGGCATGCATCGGATGATACCTTCTCGTCTCGGTCAGTTCGATGACGTCAGATTATTGAGTTTCTAGTACCCTTCCCCGAGCAATCCAGCCTGAGGCTGCCGCATTGGGAGCTCCCTCAGATTCAAGGGAACGGGATCTACTTATGTTACTGTTTTTAGCATATGGACACCCGCGAATAGCTAGATAGGCTCTGACGTGGGGCTGGGTTGACTCCGGGTAGCTAACCAGGCGATCACAGATGGCCGAAGGGTTTAAATTTTGAGACGGTCCGAACTGCTTCCGAGATTCTTTCTATTCACTCGAATGCGATCTTTCGGTGTGTCGATTGGCAATATACCGTTTGCACTCGCAGACTGCCCGTATACGTATGCGTGGATACACCCGCGAGACACAGAAGATGTATCGACCCAGTGCAGCAGAAACAGGGAATTCATCCCCTGAATCCTTTTTCATCTCCTGCTGAGTGTGGGTGACTTTGAATCTACTGCCATATTCGCCACCTTAGGACGACTTACGTAGCCTCCCCGCTAACCGGCTAAAGATACTTCAATGAGAGAGAACCCTCGGTAAAGAAGATTCGCAGTACAACTTACTGCTATGATACAACTGCAGAATGAAGTTCCTAGTGATGTGTTGATGGCCACACAGTCCATGACAATTTTAGACCTTCATTTAAGTGAGAAATGGAAGTGCCGGTACATTGTAATACATTGGTGGCCGATAAAGTGAGAAAATCTGCAGAATTATCAAAATACAGAGTCGTAAGAAATTATAACGATGGAAGGGAAACGGATGTCGAGATTTCATTCTCATATAATACAATTGCGTAAACAGCTGTCGACAGTAGTCCCTCTGTCAGGAACTACTGTTCACGGATCCCACACAATTGTTTACTTACAGTATCTGTGTCAGCCCCTGGGCAGGCCCTCAATCAATATCCAGCAAGTCTTTGAGTCAGTAGCCTACTTCAGAAAGCGCTTGCGAGATTTTCCACTGCAACGCAAATCTGTGGCTCCTTAAGGATGCCACAAAAACTGTATGGAAAAGGTCCTGATTGGCTCAAATACTGGCAGCGCCCGTGACCACACCACTGCCAAAACAGCCTTGTAGAGGCCGCACCATTCACAATGAAGTCTACATATCAAAATTCAAAAAGCTTCAGGGTTTGGTCTTAATTACAATGGCGACACCGAGCTGACGTTGGCATCCTGAGCTCACTCCAGTGTTGGCGTTGGTACTATGAAGGCAACCAGTCTTCACAGTCACGACAATGGTGGAAATTAAGTTCTGTTAGTAGGGTGCTGTACAACTATTTCCGAAATGAACACCATTCGACACCCGTCCAAATCCCTTCCCATCGTCATAATTTTGTGCAGCTCTTTAAATTAATCAGTTTTAAGAACTCTTATATTTCATGAACTTTGCGGATCTTCTGCCCTTTTTCGTCACCAATGCATGCACTTTCCGCTTCAAAACTTCCGCTCTTCAAATTCAAAGCGTAACTACAAAATTACTGTAGAGTGTGTCTTCAGAGATACCTTATCTTTATGCTAAATTTTTGCAATCTTTAATCCTCATAGAGGCAGAAAAGCAAAGAGGTGGAAAGCGTTTGCTCTCGATGGCCAGATTTGTCGATTTCCAGTCCGTGAACTATTTGTCAAGGCGTAGTAAAATTTGTCTCGAACGCTCACAAACATTCCCACAAATTGAAGTGTTAACCCTCTAGAGAATCTTCAGGCTATGAAAGTAGCAAAAAATTTTTTCGGCAACTTTTTCGAAGAGGGTAAGAATGGTTGCTGGAGGGGAAACTCAGAGCCGCATACCTGTCTCATGATGTGGTGATATCTCGAAATAAAAATGAATTACTATATTTTGTTCTTGATATTTCATTAGTAACAGGTTTCATTTTTGTCATTTGCGTCATGTGTTTATTATGAGTATTCGGGAGCTACTAATGGCATAATGACTTTCTGAAAGTAACTTGGTTCTTCAGGCTGCTCGTGCTAAAAACACTGAAATTGCTCATCGCCTAATCTTTTACTGGATTCCGTTTGGCTTCTTTGCTCTTATAGATGCCACAGCCATTAGCGAAGTTCCTATGTATTACCTCATTAAAGTACGACTGGTTTGTTTTTTCTACACAGAAGTGAAGCAATTAAAGCTGCATTTGCAAATTTTAGACAGCACTTCTCTTGTCTCTTTTGCTTCCTCTGACGAATGCAATGGTGCTCTTCGATAATGTCACAGAACCAGCAGCAAAAGCAATCGAATCATTTGTAGAGAAGATTAACAGCAGTACTTGAATAACCTTGCTTGTTGTCAAAGTTTGGAATGAAAATGTTGCGGGAGTCTCGGTGTTTCGTGAACTGGTACGCAACCGTATCGGTCGAACATGCCTGTTCCATCAATATGTCTTATGTCTGAAGGTTTTCTGCACAAAATACTGGTTTCGGCCGACATTGTATGAGCATATGTATTTTAGCTCCCACGCTCTGGCGAAGGCGTCAACGCCGAAACGTTGGCCAAATACAGAATTATAACATCTTGGCGAAGGCTTTAGAGGGACCCTTCACATCGAACTTGGCCATGTATATCAACCCCATCAGATATTTTTCGGAGGGAATTTGAATTTGGAGGCGAAACTCAAATCAATGAGTGCCATTTGGTTGACGGAACTCGGACGGGAAAAGAGGAAAATGAAAAATTCAACGACTGAAATTGTGCAGAGTCAGCAGATTTCAATATACCCTGCAATGCTCTGTGGATCGACTCGACTTAGCACGAGACCTTTCAATTACTCTCTTCCAAGAGCTACAAGGATTGGTTTCTTTCAGTGTGGTTGTTCCTCATCTTATGAATGTACTTTTACCGGTATCTGGTAGTCTTTAGTACTTGTGTCAGGGTTCCTGGTAATTGGCTCAGCAATAAGTGCAATCTTGATTGAAGGGTTAGTCCAAAAATCAAAGATGGTCGAGAACGTCGCTTTGAACGAAGCCGTGACCTCCATGGTCCCTTATCGCGATTGCGCACTCGAGGTAACATTCTCATCATAACAAAGAACGGCGCTAGCCTACCGGGGTGACATCATCAATAGTCCAAGGTTATGGACAGGCACGTTTCTACCTTCAGTAATTGAAAAATTTTGTCAACTCTTTCTTCTAAGCAGTTTCTCTTCCCTCTCCTTCCTCTCCTCTGTTCCTTAGTTTCCCAGGGGCCCCAGAAAGATTTGAAAAGCGTAGAGTTGGGTAAGAAATTCCGAGTCTCTCCATTGCATGTCCTGGGAAACGGAGTGCCCTGACGTTCTTCACAGTGACTCCTTGAAATGGTTTGAAAGAATCGGTTTGAAAGAAAGATAATCAACAGCCAAAAGACTTATTCCAAGTTCTTCTCCACCTTCATAGCCTAGTCAATCTGGTACGTACATTCCAACTATACCAATGAAAGTAGAGGTAGTTACTTTCAAACACTCCTTCCATAGTGTGACCCTTTATTGCTTCCAGCTTTTAGTCCTGTCGAAGACTAGGCTTACAGTTGACTAACTTGATAAGTTCTTGCTTACCAGTTCTGCTCAGAATTAGGGAGTTAGCCGCAACATTCTTTTGCCGCGAGGGATAGCAGCTTCTTCTTTTTCCCCATATCATTTATCTCGCACAGTCGCAGAATCAACTGTTCTCGTTAGCTGGCGCACCCTTCTCAGCCTCGTAAGTTCTGCCATTCCCTTGGCTTCGGGTAGAGGTCCCTCTCGATCACGTGACCCCATTTATTCTTGTGGGCTACTCGTTGTTGTTTCACTTAAGCTTTGAATTTTACTTTCGTTTTTTTATGGGATGATCCTTCAGACGTCTTGCACCTGCCAATTCCACCGTAGGGACTTCTCTCCCATATTCGGCTTGACAAGGGTTGTTTGCTTGATCGTCCTGACTCATTCGTTTTTTCGTTTCTCACCTGGTCCAGTCGCGTGAAACGGCAGCCCATGCCAACATCCTCAATTCTGCGGAGTGGGTTACCTTCCTTTGCGTACTAGCAAGCATACACTGCCCTAGAGCATCTTAGACTCACCACTGCTTTGTTAGCTCTTCCTTCGAGATTCCTCGAGTATCATCGATTATAGAGATACCACTGGACCTCCTCCGCTTCACCATAACGCGTTCATTCGGACCCTTACAGCATGATTCACGCTACTATTAGCGACTAAGTAATTCCTGAAACATTGCGCCTTCTCAACGATTTTTCCGAGGCGGTCCACAATTGGGTCTCTACACGTAAACGACCAGGGAGTCAGGTATTCTGCATGTTTCATTCTCATAGCGCTCTCCAGCAAATGGTCGCATTTGGCAGTTGAACACTTTCAACAACACTTCATATCAGGGACGACCAAGTGGTAGGGTCTACGCTTTCTCGTAATAATGCTCTATTACGTTACATGTCTTAGTATGAAGGTGGCACATTTGTTTTATACCTCTGGGTCATGCCTTCAGACCTCTGGGGCATGCTATCTATAGATCGAGACAAGCTCATTGATCATGAGTCGACAAGCCGCTCGTATAGATGTGCGCTGTCAAATTTATTTCGCGGTATTTGGAACAATGCATCGCATCCTTCTCTGAATAGAGATAAAAACGATGGTACCCATGCATCCAGAGATTCACCTTCAGTGTTCAGTAGATTTGTGAGCCACGCAAACCTATGCTCTACAAGCGCAATCCATGCCTCAGTCGGTATCGAATTTACCACTTTTCACCTTTCACTTTCCCTGCTAGTCAACAGACCTCGACCTCTGTCCTTTGTGCGATGGAGCGAGCAGTGGCTTCTCCTGGAAGCTGTTTTCCTGCTGAAACCCTTCACTTAAGGGACCAAAGATGTCACCTGCGCTCGATCTGGGTTGGATTTCTCTGTGTGGCTTATTCGCTGTTCTTTACAGGCCTCACTACGACAATACCTTGGATAGCGAAAAGCCGGGCTTTTGCTGGCTGGAAGGCGTTTTCTTCTCTTTTGACCCGTCTCCTACATCGGTCGCACCTTTCTTCTGATTAAGGCCCCTTCAAACATCATCGTAGTGAAAGCTCGCTGCCCTCTCTCCTTAGAATCCATCGCAAGTCTCGCCTAGCGTTTAGCTTCCAAGATGTAGGATGATCTTAATCGTGCTCATCTCCATGTCTGCTGGATCGCTACTTGGGGACTCGGATGGAAGCTCCCAGTATTCTTCGCATGGAGCACCCTTCTTACAACTAACTCGGTGCAGTTTCTACTATTGAACTCTCTTCTCTATTCTAACCCCTGCTTTTTCTTGAAGGTCTATAGTTATATTTGTCTAGGAACTGAAATCATCATTCAGAGGTGCGGCCGTCCAAATATTACACATTGATAGCTACTGAACAGAATGGTGACAAAAAAAGCTATTGTTAGTAACGGAAATTGTCTTGTCTTCGAGTGATGTTGCGTGAATTCCACCGTACTTGTTTATGGAAATTCGCTGCCAATTAGTCACCCATTCAAATGATTTGTTACGCTGCGGGCGATTCATGGTTGCGTGATGAAGTTTACACTTCGTTACAATTGTCAAATTCCGAAGCGTCCCACCACTTCGGCATGAGACATTCCTTTCAGCTTAAAAAGTGCTATCGTTGAGGACTGCTGAAGTTCTGAAGTGTACATTAGACTAACAGACAGTGATCCGAGGCACTCTTTCGAAGTTGTGATCATACTTTGAATAAAATACAAGTTTGAAAGGAATCACGTAAAGCCTCTTTACCAGTGGAAGACTCTATGGCACGTGCCTGAAAGTTAGGATTACGGAAATATCTACTATGTCTTGCTTTCGGGGTACTGCCACATTATGACTTTTACACTTTGCCTATTTTTCTGCAACAATTCCCACTTAATATAGCTTTAAAGCTTAAAGGCACAGTTCATGATAATTTTGAGGTACCCCTTTTTGGTTGAAAGCCGAAAGTATAGGTTGGCAATACTTCATCGGTATTGAAGAAAGCGAAAAAACTCGCCGATTTCGAGAAAAACGAGGGTCCTCAAAGGCAGGGGTAATAGAGGTTGGACGAGATTACCGTGACGGAAATTAGATTTAGATTACGGAAATAATATGAAAAGGATATTCGGAGGAGATCTCAGTTGTTGCAAAAGCGCAAAGGACTGACTACATCAAGCCAGAACTGTGCAGAACTACATTCCACTGTCACCATGGGTCATGACAAGCTGCTTAATCTCCCTACATTGGCTCTCTTGCAATTGGTGCATACTCTACAATACCGGTGATACTCTCCGAGGATACACGCGGTACAATCTTTGAGCCTTTATAACGCCCTACCTAGGCCGTTCTCTGGAATGGGAGCGCCACATACGGCATAAGGGGGTCCTACAAATCCATTCTAGTTGGGTATCTCAGAAGTCATTCTTATCGTGGAGTGTGCCTTTAATATGCAAAGTCTGCAGACAATGGCAACTATCTCGTCATTATGGAGAAAAACAGTGCTTATCGATACGCATTCTAATCACTGTCGTATCGAACGCATAAATACCACGAGAGGAACAACAGATCATAATGTTACAGCCCATGTTTCTGCAACTTGCCCCGTGCCCTTAAGATTGTCAAAGTTTATATTTTTTTATCTACTTAAGAAGCAGTGCCGCTCAAGATCGTATGAAGTCAAAGAGGATTGAAACAAAGCGTGAATCAGCAAAGGATGAATTTCATCGGATGCGGTACGCCACACAGCGATTGTATGCGGTTGACTGTTTGCATAGAAACTAAGGCGGTATTGAGGCAGAGACTAGACACTTAAATTATTAAGTCCCCAGTGGGTAAGCAGTGTTTAGCTCGAAGGTGAATATGGGCAATTTGTGTCCGAAATTTAGATCTTCTCAAATCCCAGCCCCATTACGACTGTTTCATCAATTCAACAACGATCATACAGACCAGTTTGTATTCTTGACCTCTCCTTCCATCAATCAAGCTGATCACTTGGCAGTCTGATATGGCGCTCACCTTTACAGTCGACAGTTGTGGGTGCTGCCTTTTTGTACGTGAGACATCTTTCGTGTTTTTCAGAATTTCTCTTGATTCTATTTTCTTGCGCATCGCTTGAGACTATGACGAAAACCAGACATTTATAAACTTTGATGCCACTGCTTGCGATTCATTCGGTAGTAACACGTGCTGAGCACATGTCGGTGGGGTTTCTTTTTCGTTTTTGAGCGCCATGTAAGAGCGCTGATTCCGATATCATTAAACTTGCACCCTGTGTTCTTCACTTAACGTCTCACTTGGCGATAACACATATAATGTCTGGAGTGTTTAAAGTTCCGAAGCTTTTCCATGTTGCCTCAATTTTGTCGCTGAAAAAGCTAATCTTAGGCATTGCACTCTGCAACTGTATCGACCGTTTACGCAGTGAGCGCAGCCGAGCGATCACACTGGGTCGGTCAGATCGCCAAATACACACTTGGAACGTGTTCCCAGTTGTTCTTTACCGAACTGGTCGTTGTGCTTTGACGTCACTGATCATGGTTTCCTATTCCTTACCTTATTCACATGATTCTTGAATACTTTTAGCGGCGAAGACGGCCGGTCTTTTTAAGAAGACTTTTTTGTCGCTCTGTTCAATGGTACTGGAGGCAGCCCGACATCTTGATTGAGACGGTCATGCTTGTCTTAGAACGGGTAGAATAAATTACACGCGCCCGTTTTTGAAATGATCTTTGTCTTCTTGCGTCAACTATCATCATTTCCGCTCCCACCCCTTCTTATAGGCCCTGTACTTTTCCCATCCCATCCGTCTTCAAGCTCTGAGTCCACTCTCTCCCCTTAGAGTTCACTATAGTTTCATCTTTTTTTTCAGCTTAGTGCTTCATATTTAAAGGTATATCGGAGCGCTGTTGTGCCCAGCGCTCGGTTGAGTGGTTAGTGCTGATAAGGCTTCACTTGCTCCTCTACTTTTGTTCGTGATGTTGAAACCTTTCTTCTAAGCTCCTAACCCGTATCTTCAACATTGCTTTATACTAATCCTGGCTAATCTTGATCTTTTTGACAGTAATATTTCATTCCAGAAAGGTCAATCTTTAACAGCTTCTTCTCCTGTTTCCATATAGCCACTGATTCTCGACACCGCTAAGCGATCCTGAAAGGAACTACCGAACGCTTCAAGCCCAATGCTTGGGAGCTATAATAGTAGCCTTCTTCAGTGAATTTAATTGCGATTTCCAAACTACTTTCTGTACGAAGAGGAATCGTTTGAAGCAGAAAGGTTCTATTATATAGTGTGGTGTTACTTTGCAACTACCCAGTTCCTATGCCGACCAATGTTTGGCTTGTGCTTTATCTCCGCATCTTATCACTATGTCCACCGCACGCAACAAAGGGGTGACCATATAGTAGGCATGACCTGTCCCAAATTGTTAATGAGAGAGGTCGATCCTTACCTTAGAGACGACGAGAGCAACCGCCCTCATGGGCCGGTGCAATAGGGGGCAGACCATCCGATTTTGGGTTCGTCTGCACCCATCGGTCGTCCCATATTTAACCAGTGTCTCTCATTCGCTTATCTTCGTTGTCATGAATCGCTCGCGTGGGGGCACATCCTTTCCAGAGGCGCTCACAACAGCGTCTGTCTTCGCACCGTTTGTACGTTCACCTATACAGCTCTCTTTGTTTACTAGAGTTTGGATCGTTTTGGTTGCTTTTCCATGTCGCTAAAAACTTTAAGACTTTTTAAATAAGTTTTTCGAGTTTTTTGCTTACTGCTTGAGCGAACCCGTCGCTAGAACTCACGGAACAGAATCTTCCGTCCTTTGTCGGTTGACGTCAGTTCCTTTCCCTAACTCCAGATACTCCTCCTTGAAGTTTTGGAACGTTTTGTTTAACGGTGGATCTCTTTTTACATTCGTGAAGTATCTCAGAAGTATTAACTCGAAGACCATTATTTCAGCTGAATACCACACTCGCAAGTCGTCTGTCAACTTGCTGGTGTGATTGAGGGATATAGGACAGGTGCTTTTACTGCCAGAAAATCAAGCGCATTGTGCACGACGAGCGGCTAGCGTTTATCGCTACCACCCCCGAGGTAGGAACCATTACTTTTTCGAATACACTGGGCTCCTGCTCAAATACGACTCTCTAGGTCTATCGAGTTCGAACAACCGAGGCCTACTACACCTTTGTGGCTTTCATCTACGATAGCGTTTACGAGACCGAACCCCCGCCCTGGAATTACTGCTGAAGGGAAAGATGACGATGATCACCCAAATGGAACTTATCGGTGATAGCAAGGTTGTGAGAGTATATTCACTGAATCGATAAACCGCAGATCTATTGTTGTATTATTACGGGTGCTCGTTTAGGTTGGCATCGCCGATGGCGAAGTGGACGCGCTCAGCATGTGCCGGCAAATCGCTCGCAACTACGACAAAGATGTAGTTCTCATATAGATTTTTTGAGTTTTTTTCTTGAAGATAAAATAAGTGGTTACAGAATATCGATGAGGCCTTCATGCTGGTCGACTTGGATGTAGTATTCGACCGATTCCTTTTGTGGAAGCGCGAATTGCCTATGATTGAGGTGATTTGCATTTACCAATCTGCCGCTCATTACTTATTGGGAGCCTTTCTGCGCATGCTGAGCAAAGCAGGTCCTTACAAAATGTTCACTGTTCAAGTTAAAATGCCAGAACTGTCCTTTGAAGGCGCTCAGGAATGATACAGGGTTTTGATTTTTTTTCTCGACACATTCTTCTCAAAAACGTACGATCGAACTATGATTCCTGAGAGAGCAAACAAGTATGGGCCTGGGTGGCCGGTTGCCAGTGATGATGTTCCTCAAATGCGACAATCCTTGAATATTAACAGTTTCAGCCTTTCTATGCAGTCAAGTGCAACACAGACCGAGTTCTCGTCCGCACTTTGGCTGCTTTGGGAACGGGATTTGACTGTGCGAGCAGAGAGGAGATAGACATTGTACGTCCGCTCAGCTTTAAAATCACCCTAAGTTCTTCACGAATTGCGTCTAAAATCAAGCAGAAAATAGAATTTAAGGTGATGGACCTGGGTGTGAGCGCCGAGCGAATCGTCTATGCTAATCCATGTAAAACTCGGTCATTCATAACCCATGCAAAGGAAAGAAACGTCAGTATGATGACATTTGACAGTGCAGAAGAGTTGGTGAAAGTAGCTCAACTGCATCCGCAAGCCAAGTGCGTTCTGCTGTAAGCAAGCCTGAAAAACATGCAGCTGAAGAGAGACCTTTTCAGAATGATTCTACGTATCGCTGTTTCTGATCCGACCGCTCGGTGCCCTTTGAACTTGAAATTCGGAGCCGATCCAGTAAAAATGGCCCCTCAGCTGCTTATACACGCTCAGGAGCTCGGTGTTGATGTGATAGGAATAAGGTAAGTCAAAAGTTATGTGGTTTCAGGAATAGCTTCAATGGTAAACATTTAAGTTTCCACGTTGGATCGGGCTGTAATGATCCCACAGCTTATCGTGAGGCCTTAGCTCATGCACGCCATTTGATCGAGCTTGGTCGAGGTTTGGGACTCGATATGACTCTGGTCGATTTGGGTGGAGGTTATCCGGGAACACCTCAACAAACGTCATTTGAGGATGTGAGTCACACTCATTTAGAGAACTTTTTTTTACAGAAGAAAAAAAAAATGAAATTCACGCTATTCAAGATTGCCGCGGTTATCCGTTCAGCTGTGGACGAATATCTTCCATCGGATTTCGGTGTTCGTCTGATTGCAGAGCCTGGGAGGTACGCTATTCCATATCTTAAACGAAAGTGAGCCAATCACAAAAAGAGCACGACTTCAGGTTTTTCGCTGCGGCTCCTTTTACCCTCGTTTGCAACATCATACACGCCACTGAAGTGTCCGCAGAAAAAATAACTAAACGTCGTGAGTCTTATTATATCACTATGAACCATTCATCTGATGATGATACATGGGAGAAGTCGTAGTAGAACACAAATAAGAGCTAGGTATCATGCTATACATGAAAGAGTTGCTAAGGAGTTGCTGTAACCTACTCCTATTGAATAGCCATCATAGAGTGCAAGCCGTCAGATGTCGCTGCTTATCGTAGTGTAGAATTGCGATGACACCCACGCGGCTGGTTAGCGGCCATCGTATCAGAAGCTTCCATGTTTGAAGGAGGGGATGAGCCATGAGCTTTCTGCGAGCACAGCGACCCGGTTTCGGCGAAGAGATGACAACGGTACGTAGACCTATACCCACTGTCATAAGAAGGACTTTCTATGTCAAGTCGTCAGAATATTCTCCACATGTGCGTTATCCTGGGACTGTGGTTTCCTACAAAAGGGTTTTTCATCATGAGCGGCTGAGCGTTGTCCACTCTTTGGAACAAAATAGCTGGAAAGGGGAACATGTTACCGAATATCTTGCTTGCCTTTATGTTATTGTGCTTCTTCAGGCTTATTAAAAAAGACCCTTGACCTCCCAGAGAATGCCTGTGCTTTCAGCTGAGGACGTTGAAAAACGCGGATACATGTACTACGTGAATGACGGCGTGTACGGCTCTTTCAACTGCATACTATTCGATCACGTTCAACCTGTTGGAACACCCCTCTTTGTGAGAAAAGTCTTCCTAATCTTTTATGATTTGTTCTACTTGACTCCTCTGAATTCAGGACGAAATAGCGCAAGATTATCCAAGCACCATCTGGGGACCCACTTGCGACAGCTTGGATAAGATTGAGGTGCTTCGAATTCTCTGAAAACTCCTGAGACGCTTGTGGTTATAACCATTCACGTTCAACCTGTTGGAACACCCCTCTTTGTGAGAAAAGTCTTCCTAATCTTTTATGATTTGTTCTACTTGACTCCTCTGAATTCAGGACGAAATAGCGCAAGATTATCCAAGCACCATCTGGGGACCCACTTGCGACAGCTTGGATAAGATTGAGGTGCTTCGAATTCTCTGAAAACTCCTGAGACGCTTGTGGTTATAACCATGTTCCAGGATCAGAAGCTCATGCGAATGATGTCCGTTGGAGAATGGATCGTATATCGAAACATGGGAGCTTACACATGTTCGGCTTCCACCACTTTCAACGGGTTCCAGCGACCAAACGCAATCTATATGATCAACAGGAAGAATTGGTTCGTTGCCTCTTTTGTCCCCTGAAAATGGGATGACTTCAAGGTGTCACCATCATCATTTTCAGGGCGAGAATTTCTACTTCGCCTAACGTCTGATTTACTCAAAGAAGTATGTACTGAATGTGCCACACAGTGACACTTTTTTAGACATGTTGTTAAATGTTATTACTATGGATAATAAATTTTGATGTTGTAATGCATACATACATACATACATACATACATACATACATACATACATACATACATACATACATACACACATACATAGACACATAATAGAAAATTATCAGCTAAGACCTCGAAAAAATCGATGATTGGGAGCACCGTGACCTGACGTGGATACTAACTCTACTCCAACGAAGAGCTTATGGTGAAGATTCCGACGCTGCAACACAGAAAATAGAATATGAGTGATTCTCTATTTCTTCGTGTCACAGTGTTTTGATGTTCATTTCATTTCTTCTTGTAATAAAGCATTTGCGGCAGCACAGCTGGCAATGGAAGGATCGTGAGCAAAGAGGAACGAAAATAAAATGAGAACTACAGGGTGAGGGGTAACTTCGAATTCCGACCTCTGCTCACAAATTTCGTTAACGATTCTTCGAACGTAATTATGGAGGTGAGTTCGAGCGAGCGCTCAACACGATATATGTAATCTGGAAGTTGTGTTTATGACTGCGCTATTAGCTGCAGTTCGGAGCGCTGGTCAGAGTTATTGTCATGTCACTTTTGCATTTAACAACGATTTTTCCTCGCCGACTGAATTTATCGCCTTAGCCTTACTTTACTGATGCTCGAGGTGATTCTGTTTCCACCGAAACCACCCAAAATGGCCACATTTTTCCCCGTTCACACACTTCACAGTCACAGTCGGATAAATTTATCAACTCATGAACAAATGTGATGTTATAGTACAAAATGATTGGAACAAAGGAGTTGTTACAATGGGAACAACGATTAAAAAAATCGCTACAGTGCTTTGCTTCACAATCATTTCCCACAGCAGGGGGACAAAGGACCAGGTGGGGGTATCAAACTCTATCGTAATCTTAGAAAACACGAGATAGTAATAGAAGAATGAAGACGCTGTTATCCATGTGAACGTATTACGAACTGCTATGTGAGCTGGTGCGATTGCACATATTTTAAATGAGAGTGAGAAATAAACATCTAGCGGCGGCTGTATAGACACCGTGATACCAGAAAGAATACATTTAGCTGGTTTTGTGGATGTAAGGCGGATTGAATAGCTTTATGACCTTTGAAGGATATTCACGAGCTCACCACCGCCAACACTGCTGTGGTTGCAGAGTGCAACTAGTTCAGTTCAACTACTTAAAGCGAACTTTACTTGCTTGGGCCTTCAAATTTAATACATAAAACAAACACATAAGCAGATTTATTGGGAAGCTTGGACTAAAAATGTGAGGGAATACGAAATTTTCTACACAACGTTTTAATCAAAAACTGCTGATCAGGTTTCCAGCAGCAAGAAGGCATGGCGCGAGTGTAACAGAGAGGGTAGACTGCACCAACATTTTTTCCAATCATCTTGGAGAGTCTGCAGTTCTATCATATGCTCTAATCTGACGGTAGTCTTCCTAATCTGTGGTTCCGAAAGTATACGGTGGGAACTGAAATCGTTTTATTTGACATCCTATAAATGGAACCCTATAAAATCCTATAAAATCCGTGGCATCCTATAAAAACTACATGGAAGGGTTTTCAGCATCATGCTCGAACAAAACTTTTGTAAAATGCAAAAGCCCTGCAGCAAAAGCCGGCTTCATATCCTTTTTTTGCGAGCGATACAACAAAATGTTTTTAGACCCAAAAACTCATCCTCGAGACATACAAATCCACACCCGCTAGTACTTATTCTATGCCCCCTCCTGTCGCTTGTCGTTTTCAGCCAAGCTTCCCGATAGCAATCAACCTTGTTTTGGTGCAGTATAAGAAAGCGAAATAACTTCCACCTACAAATCTCCGTTTGCATCAAAAATGGTTTTATAGCTTTTCAAATTATCCCAATGATCCCGGCCTTAATCGAGAATGTATACGTTCATCTGATTTGACCTCTCGTAAACTCAATGAGTTCCTCATCAGATTCATAGTAGTGTATTGCTTTCCTAATTCTTCAAAAAGATGATGACGATCTGATTGTTCTCTGAGGGTGATGCTGTCATAGAGGGTGCCCACCCACAATTTCATAATACTGTTCAAAAACGTTATTAAATCGTAATTGGTGCTTACTATTATGCATGAAGCCATCATCATCACTTGCTATGTGTACAGCATTCGGCCAACTTTAAGTTGCCGTAACTTTCTTTCCCAGTGGAGGAAATCCCATGAAATTTTGATATATTTAGCTGAATCATATTTTATACTGTCCAACACTACTTGACTGCAAAACAGCCATATCCACATACCAGAGGGAAGGCGTTTGTAGACTGTGCTGAAAGCATTAAATTTGGCTTGATTAGATAAAGTAGGAAAGGAGTAATGACTGAAAAGTACGAGTGAAGAAGCATTTGACCGAATACTTTTGAGCGCTTCTGTATATAAGGAACTCGTGCCTGGCTACTTGCCGCGAAATCCAAGATTACCCAAGGAAATGTTTGGAGGGGTCGATGGGTGGGGCACAGGCAAGATAAAAAGAACACATGACAACCCATCAGGAAAGCGGAACATGCACCGGGAAGCGGAATGCACAATTATGGGGGTTGTGCGATTCGTGCGATTTCGGGTGCGTGCGACGAACTGCGCGGCGAAATCGGTGGCGAGCAGGAGGACTTCAGCGAGGAGTCGACGAGGTTTCGGGCCAGCCGACGGCAACGACGATCATCCACATCGCTCCGGTGGAACTCTCTCTCTCTCTCTGTCCCTATGTGTAGCCATTCCATGGAGTGGACTCAAGACAAGGAATGCATAGTGTTGGTGCAGCTGCCTGTTGCCTTTTCTGGGATATATGTATCTATATACATGTATTACATGAGGTATTTCATGCGATAGGAAAAAAAAGAAAAAAGTAAATAACTTTCACGACAATACGGTACCGAGTTTGAAGGCAACATAAAAAGGTCTGCCAGCGTGGCGCAGGCTGTTATAGGAGTATGTTGTGGAATGATGACAATAAAAAATAGGCAACTGAAGGATAGAACTAAAAGGAACATGTAGGTTAAGAGGGTAGAAAAAGAGTCATAACTTACTAAGAAGTCATCCGGCGCCACGGTTTTCATCAAGATACTTCTCAAAGGTTTCGAAGCTAGCAGGTACGTTTTTTTTCTGCTCAGCTTGAGATACTGTGTGTAGACGCAATTAATAAAAAACCGAGACCTACAGTTGAGCTCTGCTCTGGGGACAAGCAATTTAGCTTCACCTCTAGTAGTAAATGCTCTAACATTACAAAAAGCAGACAGATCCAATGAAGAACGCCCATGTAGAATTTTATGGAAAAGAAGCAAATCACGTTTGTTTCTGCGCCAGCAAAGAGAGCGAAGGCAAAGATTGGCATTCCTGACCGCAGCAGAGGGGATGGTGGGATCATCTTTATTCAGCTTAGCTTTACTGCCAGGAATAACAGATTTTTGCAAATCAGGTAGCTGCAATTGCGAGTTGGCTGGATACGGTATTCATTGTCATCGCAAACGACTGCTTCCATTTACCATGGTAGAGTGTACCACCCGCAACAGGAGTTTAAAACTGTCAGGCCCTTAGCCAAAAAAGAACTTATCCTGCAGGAAGTTGACAAACTAGTAATTGATTTTGTTTGTCCCAGGTTGTCACGCAATCATGTGAAGTACCCTAGGGTTTTGAATGAGCCGTGTATCGCTACGATCAAGTTATACGTTGTAATTCGTACGATACGAGGTTGTTTCAGAGATGTTAAGTCATGCTATTGCCGGCTCCAGAACGTGTAAGGTAGGCCTACTAGAAGCAGCGTTCAGCACTGTCCTGCTCAGTTGCTGAGCTTCCCCGGGAGGGGTATAATTACGAAAAAAGTCTCACAATAATAACAATAAAAACGAACAAAAAAAAACAAAATTAAATGAAAGGCCAGAATCATGATTATAAATTTTGTATGAGTGACGCCATCTTCACTTGGGTGGTACCTTTTTTACACGGATCCCAGCCGTAGAGACGCGTATTCTTTAGGACTATGACACGTACCTTTGCAGGCTTAGAAAGTAATTGCTTAGCTCATCCAGATGACATCGTCATTTTTGACAAGAATTCCCCCAACCATCTGCAGTTCTTCAGCAAAGTTCTCTACCGATACCGACTTTTAACATTCAATAATCAGCAGCACAGAAATAGTCCGCACCCCTAAAACCTCCTTAGGTCAAGAAATTTCTGGCTCATCCTACCCGCCCGCTAGCAGAAATATTCCAGCCATTTTTCTCCACCCAAATGCAACAAAAGCCGTTAAGGGACTTGTTGGCATGGCCACCTTTTTCGTAAAATTCATCGCAAATGTTGCGCTGATCTTTCTAGGCTCTCTCGAAAGATAAAGCAAAGTTGTATGAGGTCTGAGCATCAAGGAGCTTTTGAATGCTGCTGCTGACCTAGAAGCCATGGTTCGGATTCTTACAGAATAAGAAAATTCTCCCCCATACGGATGGTAGCCTATAAGTAGGAGCGACTTCATTTCAACGTCATTCGGACAAAGTCTCATTTTACAGATATCGGTTGTTTTAGTAAAACATTTCGGAACTCCAGCAAAAGTGTATTCCCATCCATATAGAGCTGTTTGCGTTGTGAGCGTGTTACTTTTTTTTCGTCCCACCATATACGGTAATTATACCAATATTCATACCACTGTCCGTTTACATTCCTATTGGAAGATATAAAACTCATGACAACTTAGCGCGGTAGGTTGTTGAGCTTCAAAGCTACGATCTAAAGTGTTCGTCTAAGGTCGGCACCCTTTCTCGAGCTGTCGATTCACGATAAAGTTCCAAGATGGTACTCGAAGACAGATGACATAATCGATTTCCCTAATAGCATCAATAAAGCCCACAGCCTATTGCATACGATCATCCGTTTATTACATAGGTTCACTTCACCTGATTCATCCCTACGGTGCTTTACAA